ACAGGCCTTTCAAACGCCACAAGAGGTCGGCGGTTGAGCAATATCGGGCCAAGGTCACTGGGCCATAAGTCCCGGTGCGTTTAATGGTCTCGGGAGCCACCACGACGGGACAGCTGGTCTACAGACGTTCTCACATGTCACGCTTTAGGCCTACTTTGTAATGGGCTTGTTGCAGCCCTTCTGCCTATGCCTCCGACACGCCCATGACAACGGCCCTGTATGCCAAAGCAAGTGGCCTCGGTCCGTACTCTCAGAGGGCCGACTCACGCCACTTTAGACCAGTCGACCTGAGGTCGTTCAAGCCTTTATGGAATAACAGCGATGTGAGGCATCAGAGAGTGCAAACATTTCCGAGTCGAGTAGAGTCCCACAGCACTACTGTTAGTAATATCGTAACTCTCTTAGTTGTTCAAGATCCAAGGATAGTCAGTCGATTTGCTCCCCTGTCCGTCAGGTCGCCAAAGTTTGCAGTGGGACCGTTAGGACGGTAGATGTGGTCTGACCTAGCCTTCACAACTTAGTCCAGTTGACGGGGCGACAACGAATAATGCACCTCGTCAGAATGTCTCAATTACTGTGGCCAGAAGAATTTTTCAGCCTCGAACCACGGACTCAGTACGCGGCTGGACGCTGCGGCGTCTCAACGACAGGCCGTAACTCGTGGAAAAGGAAAGTAGAGTCCATCCAGCTCTAGCATAGGCCAGCCAGCAACCCAGTTGCCATGGCGTTGGCCAGTCAAGTCAGCGAAGTCAATTGGTTGCCTGGACGATTGCTCGCAGTCGATTATAAGGCAAACACACAAAGGCACAAGGATCATACAAGCGAAAAACAACCTAAAAACGGGACCAAATGCAAAATTTCCTGTCGACAGAAGCAAGTCCTTCAAGGCTCAGGGCACGGGAAAGCCATTTCGCCCGGATATAACACAATGTAGCGCCAAGCACAGCTTAACGACCAATGCATGTCGAAAAAGCGTCCATACGCATCGAGCCGATTGGAGCAAAATGACGAAAGGCTTCAGGTGACCGTCTTGGTCTGTCTTCCCTGCTGGCGTGGTCCACCTGGCAATCTGGAACAAATGTACAAAAGCACACGGTGACAGCGAGGTGGCATGATCTGTCTTTTGGGACGTGGACGCTGGCTTGACCAGAAACTACTTTCTTCACCCACATGAGAGCACTGCTTCAGCCTGTTTCCACCTAACAAAACGTAGTCGGTGGCCAATCCAGCCAACTCAATCAGGTCCCGAGGTCCGCCCAGGAAGGCAAGTTAGTCCCAACTAAGGTAGTGGGATTTTGCGCCGTCGCCTAAGCAACCTCCTCCAAGCTACAACGGAAAACACCTTTTAGGGTGGCAAAGCTAAGTGAAATTCAATGGTACACCAGGACCCGCTCATCTAATAATGGAAAAGCTCAACCTTCATTACCTTATGTGCCTCAGGGTGAATAAGGCTATTGCTGAAAATAGAAGAATATTGAAGACCTGGCTTGAAATCCCAATTTAATTTAATCGAATCTGCATTGATGCTTACCAATTGAGATGGTAATAGTCGAGCCAATTACGAAATCGTCAGAAAAAGAATTCGCCAGTTCGTTAAGATAAATCCTGCTGTTTTTATTATAAAAGATAAGCTGCGTTGAATATGAACTAAAAGTTATCAGAATGCAGCAAAATAAAAAGTGATCTACAGGATACCCGTATTTTTAACAAACTCGTATTGCCCATACTTTATTGGAATAAGGATCATGTGGCCCAGGTGGCAACATGCTTGCCACTAAGTGCTAATGGACCGAATCCCAACTCTGTTCTCTCGCTAATCCCACCTACCAAGAGTTGAAATAATGGTTCATCTTTGAGGGGCGAATGCCAAATGATTGAAGAAGACAAGCTTTCTCTTCGATTCACCATGAGCAGATCAACTGTCACCTTGTGAAGCACCAAGCGGTCTGTCACCCGGCCTACTTAATAACTGGTGTTCACAGATCTTCTCAATTTTCATATTCAGCATTTTCCACTACTAAAGGTTGTGTGTGATTTTAACTAAAACAACACTTAAAAACGGTGACGGCAGTTTAGCTAACTGGCCAAGCTGGCTATTAAGGCTGGCCAGGGATAACGCAAAGTGATCATTTTTGTCCGCAGTAAAAGGTACCATCAAGATAATGCTTATAGGCAGTAGGCTCCCAGGCATGCGGAAAGCGCGAGAACCCGATCAACGTGGATCACAACGTAGAAGTCCTGATCAAAGCAAAGATGGCCGGAAATGAAATGGAAACTCAATCTGGCTTTCAATCGGAAAAATTGTGAAACCTCAGAGATGATTCTCACCAAGTCTCAGTGACTATAGGCAACCATTTAAGCAGGCAAAATCGTTCGCAGAAAAAGAAGAATGAGTATAACTGTGAATGTTATGGAATATAGTGAATGGAGAAATTCAGGACATGTAAATAAGCGTAGGAGCATCAATGCTCCGCGGCAAGTCAAAAAAGAATAGACCTTGAGCCGTCATTGTCAGTTGAGCGAGTATGCAAGATGTACAATATGTACGTTAAAAACAAATGGCAAGAAACAAAATGGTATGAGAAATTACAAATAGATTATTTAAGAGACCAAAACCTAGTTGTTATTCAATCTAATGCTAAAAAAAGAAATTTATTTAAATGATTTCATGATTGAAGCAAAATATGAAGGGGAATAAATTAAAATGTTAGCTTTATATAAATTTATGTTAAGCCCAAAAGCAAATTTGTAAATAAATAGTGGTGGAATTAGAGAAGAACAAAGGGATAAAACTGGTTATAAAACAAGAAAATATTAAGGAGGTATAAATGTAAATAGGCGTCGAACAACCGAGAAAAATAAGTCAGAATCGTCAAAAATAAGACGAATAAATGGAAAATTTCATGTCACAAAATTGGGTAAAATGCCAGTGATGAATAAATAACTTTCTAGATACAAAAAGATAATTGTATAATGGATACGAATGATTTCATGACTCCGAGGCAATAAACAGAATATTGAAACA